TAGGGGGCAAGGGCTCAACATATTATTTGACAGTGAAGGGAGCAGGTACAGTGATAATGGGGCGAACATGTATGTTGGAAGCAGTGATCTCACTATTTTCAGCCTCACTGCTATAAGTGCAGCCACTGCTGACTTCTCTCCAGCTAAAACACTTGGACAAGGTGGTTTTGGCTCAGTTTTTAAGGTAGAGTTGTTCCCTTCTTTTCATTTGAGTTCTTTGGTTCTGGATGAACAAGAACTTATTGCATAACAACATCTACTTCCAGGGTCAGCTACCTCATGGACAGCAGATTGCTGTCAAAAGACTTTGCAAAAATTCAGGTCAAGGGATTGAAGAATTCAAAAACGAGGTCAGAATTATAGCAAAGCTCCAGCACAGGAATCTAGTGAAACTACTTGGCTGCTGCACAGAACGAGATGAACAAATACTAGTATATGAGTATATGCCTAACAAAAGTTTAGATTCTTTTCTCTTTGGTAAGTCCGGAAGCATGCACCTTGCCGTCCTTAAAACTTTCTCTTCTCAAACTAATTTGAGAGAACAAATGCAGATGAAAGGACAAAACAGTCTCTGGATTGGAGAAAACGAGTGGAAATAGTTTTGGGGGTTGCCCGTGGAATCCTCTATCTGCACCGAGACTCGAGGTTTCGAATAATCCACAGGGATTTGAAAGCAAGCAACATTCTTTTGGATGAACAGATGAATCCAAAAATTTCAGATTTCGGACTAGCCAAAATGTACAAAGGCGAAGACATTCCAGAGAAAACAGCTAGAGTTGTTGGTACATAGTAAGTGCATTCTCTCATCACTCAAGCAACCCACTCCCCAGCATTTTATATATGAATTTATTTGACAGTTTTTGTGTCACAGCGGCTATATGTCACCAGAATATGCAGTCTTTGGAAAATTCTCCACTAAGTCTGATGTCTTTAGCTTCGGGGTAATTTTTTTGGAGACTATTAGTGGGAGGAAGATTAGTGCCTTCTGCAGGGAGGATCCATCCCTGAACTTGATAGGACATGTAAGTGAATGTACTAATAAATACACATTTTCATATTCTGCAAACTACTCTTGCTGTGCTGTTGATGTTATGAATCATGCAGGTATGGGAGTTATGGAGAGAAAACAGAGCATTAGAGATAATTGATTCGTCAATTATGGAGTCATGTGTTCCAAGTGAAGCCTTGAGGTGCATTCAGATAGCACTGTTGTGTGTGCAAGAAGATCCAAAGGACCGGCCAGATATGTTAGCAGTTATTCGGTGGTTGAACGGTGAAGCTTCTCTTCCTTCCCCTGACCAGCCCGCCTTTGTTCTGAGAAAATATTGCAAGGATCAACAGTTTTCACTGAAGGGAGAAATCATCCCCGAGGATACCTTTTCTCTCCCTTTTGTAACCTGTTGATTTGCAGAATCCATGCTCACCAGCCTCGAAGTTTTTCCTCAAAGAGAAGAGGGTACTTCTCATATGAACCTTGCATGCATACTTTAGCTTCTTATTGATGTCGATGGATTAACAATTATGCTGCTATCAGAAGGTTGCTGCAATATAATTGTGAAATTCTCCAATTAGATCAGATGTATAGTGCCAGTTCCTAAATCATTGATTTTGAAGCATTATTTATTGTGAAGATATGTCATCGTCGACTTCCCGACTCTTCCCAGCAAAGGGGACATGACAAAATGATGCCATCCATCCTTGACTGAGGACCCCCCATTACTGTCTGCCGGAAAAAGTTGAAATCAACTAATGAGATATGTGTGGTTCCGTGCCTCTGGGCTCTGAGCATATCCCATCTCTCAAATAATGATAGAAACATAGTTTCTATCGGATTTGCGGATTGGATCGACATTTGGGATTTTAGGGATTGGAGAAGAGAATTGAGGATTTAGGGATTAGAAGATAGAGATAGGGATTGAGATTGGGAATTAGAGGAGGAAGAAGAATAGAAGATAGAATCGGCCGAAGCTTTAGAGGGCTAGAGAACAAGAAATTAGGAGATAGAGGATTAGGGCTTTGAGAGAGATACTTTCTGAATAATTGTTCTTGCTTGATTATAACGGAATACCCAAGTACATATATATAGGGAAAGATAGGAAAACCTAATAATAACCCTAGTACAACTAAAAGGCTACCAACCCTAATAGTAATTATCTTACCATAATTAATAATTAAACCCCTAGGAAATAGGTTTCTATCATCCCCTCCCCCTTGAGACCAACCTTGCCCTCAAGGTTGATCAACTCGAACCACTCTTTCCTTTCTTTTTGCACAATTCGCGGTCGACTCCTCCATTTCATACGCTTCCTTTTCTTCCAATTGTGCTCCACTGCTCGAATGAAGCCCACTCCAGTGACCCCGACTCTCCCCAACTTTTCTCGAGCCACGTGACATAGGTCACAGTCTCCATAGCCGAACAATTCTTCCTCTTCGTTCTCAAAATCCACGAAGTAAGAATCGGAGAAATGTTCTTCTTCATGCTCCATAAACTCCTTCATTGACTTGGATGTGAAAATAATACAATCTTCTCCTCCTTTATCTTGGACTTCACCCACTATTGGTTGCAATAAAAAGCTAGAGCCCAAACCAATATTAAGCCCTTTTATCTTCTTTTCAACTTCATTTGGGCTTGGGTCGTTTGAAAGCCCACTTACCAACCCAAGAACTCCATCTAAGCCTGTTTCCCTCAACACATAGCCCAAGTGTGGCTCATTTCCTACCTCCAAATGCGGCCCAAGTCTGTATTCAAATATCTTCTCTTGACAAACCAGCCAATGCCCATAACTTAAATAGCCTTTGTCCATTGGGGGATCCACCTGACCTGGTCCATCTCGCCTTGCCAAGCCCACCATGTCATTTCCCATTGCCAGCCCGTGACCCAAACAATGCACTCCTCCCAGCCCATTAAAACTATTGGCCCGAATTAGTTTGCTCAGCTGATATGATCTGCTCAACTCGAGCCCAGCGAAATCCACCCCACCAAAAACGAGCCCGATACTTAGCTCTAGCCCTTGTGAGGCCCGTCTCAGTCCAAAATGTGGCCCGCCTTGTTGAACCAATCCGGCCAACTCGAGCCAGACTCGGCCCAATGGTTCAGGCCGCTTGGTGGCGCGACCTAGGGTTGCGGGAGATGGGAAGCTGCCGCCACCCACCTTCTCCTTGCTCGCCGCCAGCTCCTTCTCCTCCTCTTCCTTCCCCGACGACAAGCAAACCCTCCGACGGCACGGCGGCAGGTGTGAATCCATTGTCGTCGTCAACTCAGTCTTTTCCTCCGACGCCCCTAGTGGATCCACCAACGTCTGCAGAGCTTCTCGCGCGACGATTGGCGATGGTGAAGAAACCCGACGACTTTGCTCCGTCCTTTCTTTCTCCGGCGTCGAGCAGTTCGCCAGGTGTAGTGAAGTAGATCCTGAGGCCCAGCTGTTGATCCTTGATTCTTTCTTCTCGCCCGCCGTCATCTTCTTCCTCGTTTTCTCCTCCGGCATCGCTTGCTCCTCTGGCGTCACCTTCCGAGCCTCTATCCCCGGCAGCAAACACGCCACCAGGCAGCGCTGCTGCCAAATTGCCTTTGGCTTCCTCTCCCTCTCCAGCATCGCGTGAGAGAGCTCCCAGAGCGTGCCTCCTGCCGGCCGAAGTACAGGTGAATCCAGCGCCAGAACACGGCCCCACGCCATCCTCCTGACGTCGAGCCCTCGGCCGTCGCCGGTCATCCGCGTCGCTGATTCCTTATTCACCTCGAGCTCCGACGACGATTCCTTCACCCGGCGGCTAGGAGACTCGCTAGCTTCTGGCTTCTTCGGCTCAACGAACACAACGGGAGCCGCCATCGACTACACGATCGGAGCCCTAGTCGCTTGCTCCCTCTTCCATTCTGATGTTGATGGTCGCGCCCTCACTGCGATGCGCGTTGCCACAGCTCGGCTCGAGGCTCTCGCTGACGGTGGGGGATTAGCCGACTGTTTCTTTCTGAATTTCCACGTCAAGTTTCTCTCCTTATCCGCGACTCCTCTGTTTGTCATAGTCACACGCAGAGAACCATCTGTCGTGGGTTGTACCTTGTCGTGAATATCCGTCTTCACTGCTCTGGAATCGGATTTGCTGACGACTTTGGCAGCAGGTGGTGACCGTGGTGGTCGACTCGCCATCACCTTCCTCCGCGATGTGACGGTTTCACGCTCCATGAAAGCTTTGACTTGCAAGCTATCACGTATAGCTTGAAGCTTTGCCTCCAACTGTTGTTGATACGCCTTCTGTCTAACATTGAAGGCTTCAATCCTCTGCTGCATCTTGTTGAAAATGTGATGGAACTCGTCCCCGGTTGAGAGTTGTGATGAACTCAGACTCGCAACCGGAGCTCTGATACCAAATGATAGAAACATAGTTTCTATCGGATTTGCGGATTGGATCGACATTTGGGATTTTAGGGATTGGAGAAGAGAATTGGGGATTTAGGGATTAGAAGATAGAGATAGGGATTGAGATTGGGAATTAGAGGAGGAAGAAGAATAGAAGATAGAATCGGCCGAAGCTTTAGAGGGCTAGAGAACAAGAAATTAGGAGATAGAGGATTAGGGCTTTGAGAGAGATACTTTCTGAATAATTGTTCTTGCTTGATTATAACGGAATACCCAAGTACATATATATAGGGAAAGATAGGAAAACCTAATAATAACCCTAGTACAACTAAAAGACTACCAACCCTAATAGTAATTATCTTACCATAATTAATAATTAAACCCCTAGGAAATAGGTTACCAACCCTAATAGTAATTATCTTACCATAATTAATAATTAAACCCCTAGGAAATAGGTTTCTATCAAATAACTACAGGAATTGACGGCTAACGGAGACAGCAAAACACCACTCCTCTACAAAATTTAAAGACCGTCACTGTTAGTTGTCACTTGTAAGTGCTGAAGGCTGGTGCCCAATTTTGGATATGAACTCAATAAATTGTTCAACTGAATCTGTTATGAGGTGAATGCATGGCGGCCATTAAATGAGAGGTAATTTTTGTTGTTACAACTCGGTTTTGTTTCTTTCCATTCTGAGCACATATTTTTTGACGGTCATTACGTCGTCTTCTCATTTATTCTGGTCACTCCTTTCATTTTCATGTGACTTTTCTTTTCCCGAGAATACGGCTAACTACGAGAACTCCAATGATTTTCTTTTTCACAGTCCACAACAATTGGTGGGTTTTAAGTTCAACCGCTGACCTTATGTAAATGTTTTGCAGAGTTTCGAGTATCCTGCAAAATCATGACGGGGTTCACGGTGATCCATAGATGCGTTCTGCTTTCCACGTTTCTAACCTTACAATTACTTCTTTGTATCACTGCTACAGACACTCTGGAAGCTAACCAAATAATCGAAGATGGTAGCCTTCTCATCTCCAAAGGTGGTAAATTTGCCTTGGGATTTTTCCATCCAGGTCATTCTAGCAGCAGCAACAGATCATATCTTGGAATCTGGTACCATAAAGTAACACCACAAACCGTGGTGTGGGTAGCAAACAGGAACAGTCCCGTCAACAGAACTTCTGGAGTTCTCGCTCTTGATGGCCATGGCTGCCTTGTTCTCTACAGTAGCCATGACCAAAGAAGGGTCCCCTTGTGGTCTGCTAATGCAACCTCTTCTGTGGATACCTATGTGGCTCAGCTGTTGGATTCAGGGAATCTGGTCTTGCTCCAAGGTTTGCCAGAACAACGCAGAATGGTGTGGCAAAGCTTTGATTATCCCACAGATACCGCACTCCCGGGAATGAGAATTGGTTTGAATCTGAGAACCGGTTTTGATCGGAACTTGACATCATGGAGATCACCCGATGACCCGGGAATTGGCAACTACTCTTTCCAGGTCCACCCAAACGGCTCCCCACAGTTCTTCCTTTACCAGAAGCCAAATGGGAACCACTATTGGCGCAGCGGGTCATGGCCGTGGGCGCACTTCCCTGATCTATACAACTACACTTTTGTCAACGGAGAAGATGAAGTTTACTTCTCTTTCACGGTTGGCGATGAAAATCTTCTGTTAAGAATAGTGGTTGATGATACAGGAACCATGAAGCGATTGAGGTGGCATGAGAATGACGAGAGATGGAAGGAGTACTGGTCGGCGCCCAAGTCCAGATGTGATTACTATGGACAGTGTGGTGTTAACAGCTTATGTGATCCGAATAATGTCAATAGCTTTGAGTGCACTTGTTTACCTGGTTATGAACCGAGGTCGCCAGGTAGCTGGCGCCTTAGGGATGGATCAGCAGGATGTGTCAGGAAGCGGTTAAAACCTTCCTCATTCTGTGAACGTGGAGAAGGGTTCTTGAGATTGGATAATATAAAGGTTCCCGACACTTCAGCTGCTGTTTGGGTTAGCAGGAGCATGACTCAAGCTGCCTGTGAAGAGGCCTGCAGAAGTAATTGTTCATGTTCTGCTTATTCAAGGAGGTATCTTGAAGGGAAGGAAAAGGGATGCTTGGCATGGTATGGGGAACTAAATGACACTGTTATATTTCTTGACAGTGGTGATGATCTATTCGTGAGAGTTGATTCACATGAATTGGGTAATTATAAGCTCATATGTTCAGCTTGAGAAGCTGGTCCTCTTTCAGTTTTTTTTTCTTCCTCTTTTCTTCCTTTGCACATCATTGCTTCATTGACATTACATTTCAATTTCCTTCTGGGTCACAGCTGAGAATCTGAGGAAATTATCTGGTGATGATGCTGTGGTGAAGGTTAAGCTGGCAATTGTTGTGCCATCTGTTGCTTCAGTTTTGTTTGCCATGTCGATATTTGTCTATTTCAGGCTTCGGAGCTGGAAACGGGAGAGAGGTAAGAATCAGGGGAGCCTTTTTATTGTTCACTGCTGTCGCAACATTTGAAAACGTTGCCTTTTCCTGTAATGTTAGTCCCCTACGGAAACTGAAATGCTTCTTCGTTCTTTTCAGTGAAGAGCAGATGGATCAAAAGAGTATTTGATTCTGCTGGCGGTTCGAATTCCTCTACGGGCAGTTTGGCTGCAACGGTACTTGGAGCAAACACCATTTATCCGGAGCTACCATTTTTTGATTTGCGTGAAATTATGACAGCCACTCAGAATTTCTCTCCGGCTAACAAAGTTGGTCAAGGTGGTTTTGGGGAAGTTTACAAGGTTAGCAAGAGTAGTAGTCAAATTACATTACTTTGTCAAATGCTGTTCTATTAAGATGACCAACCCTATGGGCGCTGTGATTGAATTTTCCAGGGTCAGCTAACAAATGGGGAAGAGGTGGCAGTAAAAAGACTATCTAGAAGTTCAGGTCAAGGAATTGAAGAGCTGAAGAACGAAGTGGTGTTGATTGCCAGGCTGCAACACAGGAATCTTGTGAAGCTTCTTGGGTGCTGCATTGAGGATGAAGAACAGTTGCTTGTTTATGAGTACTTGCCAAACAAAAGCTTGGACTCGTTCCTCTTTGGTACGTAAGTTCTATGCAAATTCTGCAAGAGCTCCTTTTGCTTTTAGTCTCTTCGTTATTTCATTACAACCATCTTTAGAAGAAGGAATACGTAACAACATTAGGCTACAAAATTTTTGGCAGATGAAAGGAGGAGCCCTTTACTAGAGTGGAGGATCAGATTCAACATCCTCGTGGGGATTGCTCGTGGGATATTGTACCTTCACCAGGACTCGAGGTTCAGAATAATACATCGGGATCTGAAAAGCAGCAATGTTCTCTTGGATGCAGAGATGAATCCAAAAATTTCAGACTTCGGCTTGGCTAAGATATTTGACAGCGATCACACCCAAAACAAGACAAGCAGAGTTGTTGGAACATAGTAAGTATTGGTGATTGATATCATCTTCTACGAAAAACGATGCATTTGTTTAGTTGCATGCTATTACAAATTCCATTTGCTGTAGCCCAGTATGGAATTGTGAATCATATGAAGGTTGGCTGAAGGCTGCTAGTTTATCTCAATGTAAGTATTTAACCATGTGAGTTTGCTCTCTGGTGCGTGCAGTGGCTACATGTCTCCAGAATACGCAGTGTTCGGGAAGTTTTCGGTGAAATCCGATGTGTTCAGCTTCGGTGCCATACTATTGGAGGTGGTAAGCGGCAAGAGGATCAATTGCTTTCTCCACGAGGCAGCTCCACGGACATTGATCGGACATGTAAGTAGGAGTCAGGAAATGTTCAGCTAGCTAGCTAGGTATTCGTGCAATTCCATTCTCTGCCATCTCCCAAGGAAAACTATAATGTGATGAATGGAAATTTAGGTATGGAACTTATGGAGGGAGAAGAGGGTGTTGGAGATCATGGATCCTTCATTGAAGGAATGCTATGTTGCCGAGGAAGCTCTGCGGTGCATCCAGTTGGGGCTGTTGTGCGTTCAGGAAGATGCAATGGACAGACCAAACATGTCAGCAGTTGTTCTGATGCTGAACAGCGAGACGCCGATTCCATCTCCGAAACAACCGGCTTTCGTTTTCAGGCGACCTGGCGCGGATGCCAATTCGGTGATGGCCGGTGGTGGTGATCCTTGTTCCATCAACGATCTGACTCTAACAGGGGTGGTGTCGCGGTAGAGAGAACCACAAGTCACTTGCAGTTGTGGGGAGACATAGAAGTAGAGTGTACATTCCTTCTGTTCTGTCTCATATTTGAGTCCGGATTTGGTGACTAAGGGGGGGTGCTTAGTCACTTGGCTAAGCCCCCCTCAGCCCTTGGATCAATCTAATGGTGTAGATAATGGAAGGACTATTTTATTAATAAGAAGGGCAATTCTGGAATTAGAAAAAATTCAAAAAAAAAAAAAATTTCTCCACCTTCTCTTCTGCGCTGCCAGCCACGGGATGAAGGCGACGATGGAAAAGAGGCGACCGGCGACGACGATGGAGAGAGAGAAAGGAGACCTCGACCACGACGGCGACAGCGACGATGGAAAGAGGGAAAGGAGATCGCGACGGAGGCGAAGGCGTTGAAGAGAGAGAAAATAGATCTGGTCTTCATCATCGGAAAACATAGGAGAGAGAGGCAATGGCGGAGAGAGAGCGCCGGCGACAATGGAGGAGAGAGAGGCGGCGCGACGATGGAGGAGAGAGAGGCGGCGTGACGATGGAGAGAGAGAGAGAGGTTGCGATGGCAGTAGATTGAATCAGCGGCGGCAGCGGTGGAGAGAGAGTCGACGGCGGCGGCAGCGGTGGAGAGAGAGTCGTCTGAAGGAAGAACAGTGATTTGTATAGTTTGTATGTTTTGTAACATTAGTTTGTATTGTTAGTATTTTTGTACAAAATGTCAGTATGGTTTGTATGTTTTTCTTTGACAGTTTGTACTCTTAGTATGTTTTTCTTTGACAGTTTGTACTCTTAGTATGTTTTTCTTTGACAGTATGGTTTGTATGTTTTTCTTTGACAGTTTGTACTCTTAGTATGTTTTTCTTTGACAGTTTGTATTCTTAGTATGTTTTGCTTGTATTCTTAGTATGTTTCGCTTTGTATTGTAAGTACTAATAATTTGTATACTTTATGTTACACCCCGACATTTGGGTCCAGGTTCGACCGAACAGTTGGATCGACGATTACGTACGAATGATGGCAACTGCAATAATAATAACATTAATAGTTATTATTATTATTAGTATATAAAAAAAAAAGAGTTATCCCACGCCAGTTTTCGCTTTATGGTAATCAACCACCAACACCAATATCCCACTCCAAATTATACTCAGATACAACTCACCCCCAACAAGCTTTGTACGCTCCCATTCCCTTATCACATCATACTTTAATTAATGGAGACAGCTAGCTAGAGATAATAGTGTCGGTGCTTGGATGGCTTAAATTATACATCCACTTTCTCATTTCTTCCCTTCACTACTGATTCCCAACAACACCAGAACCTTGCATCCATTATCATCAACTTCTTTCCTCCTCCCAATCGTTCCCTTCAGCAAAGCCTTCCGCCATCATCGTCATCATTAAAGAAGCCGCTCCATCTATCACCAAGAGTGATTATTGACACCGCCAGCAACAGGAGGAGGAGGCTAACGAAAGCTCTAACACTCGTCCCATGCGTCATCTTCCCCGCGCCGTCGCCTCTCCGTCCACTACGTTGGACTTGACGTCAATGAAGAAGAAAAAAAATGAGAGAATAGAAAGAGAGGGAAATGAATGATTCTGGGCATTGGTTTTTGCTCGGAAGAAGATGAGGAACCATTATACGGAGTCGGAATCCAAGTTGGAGGTCGTTAGAGGCCTCGTCGGAGCTTCGCCGGAACGTCGCCGGAGTGTCGCCGGATTCTGGAAAAATAAACTTCGACGAAACTTCAAAAGATGAATATGGTTGCGTAGAGGGCGATCTCAGGAGCGTCACGGTGTCGACGAAATCGAATTCGGACGTCGGATGAGGGAGAACCGAGTCTCCCAAGTTTGAGGAGGAATATGTCAACCATCAGGTACCATTTTTGAAAATTCGAAAAAGTTAGGGGATTAAATCTGTAATTTTCCAGAGGTCGGGTCAACTGTGTTGACTGGAAAATTTCAGTTTCGGTACTTGATACTTCTAAACTGACAGAATATTTATTTTGGCCATAACTCGATCAATTGACGTCCGATCAAGGAATCGTCTGCGCCTATGGAATCGTGGGGAGGAATAGAATTTAATGGAAGCGATACATGGAATTTTTAGAGTGGAATCAGAGTTGGTTTCAACAGAAATGAGGTGAGTGGTTTAAGGGGGTAAATTCTACGCCTTACGTGTTTTCAAGTAATTGCCTTACGAGTTTTTAAAGTATGTGTGTTTACGTGAATTGTATGCCAGTGATTGAATTATGTCGTGATTGATAAAGCATGATCTGTTTGAGATATTATCCGAGATGATTATTTGAGCTTTCTGTATTTACTTGAAGCTTTTATATTTATGTTTATTTGATGAAGGTTGTTTGATCTTTAAGGATCAATATTTAAGAGGTATTTCACTCCTAATTAAATTAGGGTGAAAAGATTTAAAGATAGTTCACTAACGACAGTCCCCCGCCCCAGTGAAAGTTTAAAGGAAGAGCAAGTTTGCTCTTAAGGAACATGTGGATGAATCACTTAGACATCACATGAAGTTTAAAGGAAGAGTATGATATACTCTTAAGGTTTATGGGGTTGAATCGATTACTCCCATAAAAAGGTTTAAGGAAAGGCCTATGTTGGCCCTCATACGTATGAGCTGGGCGGTTGGACTAGTTAGTGAGGGGATCCCAGTGTCAGTCAAAGGTTTAAGATTTTGAGGGTGGCGAGTAATAACAACTCCCACATTTCTTTTTAAAGGGTTAAAGTATTAAAGGGTGGAAGTATATATAACTTCCACAAGTTTTGAGGTGAACACTTAAGGGAACACCCGTAAGTGCTTCGAGTTTAAGTAATGGCGTAGACTGACCCCAACCCACTCACCAGGTCATAGAGAAGGAGCTAGAGGAGCAGTTAATGAGCAACGAGTTCGAGGGCAGCCAGCTAGAGGATGGCAGTATAAGCGTCACGGAGGATGCTTAGTCAAGGTTTTTCAGCAACAACAACTTTAGAGATTATTAGATATTTACATTTATGATTATGAGTATAGACTGGAGATCATTTTGAGATTTCAAGTATTGAGTTTGCCCATGTGTTAGGGCGTTGCTTTGAATTACAAGTGTGTGTTTCCATAATTTTATTTATGAAAATTTTTCCCACTGCAATTTAATATTCGAGTATTTTATTTATCAAGGGCATTTTAGTAAAAGTAGTACCCGGCCGGGTTAGGGTGTTACATTTTGGTATCAGAGCTGGTCTTCCTCTGTTCCTTGGTCTTCCAGGAATACTGGAGTGACGATCTGAGTTTTTCAAGGTTTTTGGTTTTTAAAGGAAAGGAGAAAGGGTTTCAGGTTAAAGGTTTGGCCAAATGAGTCAGGGTTTCTTTTGAGGATTTTTAGAATCTCCAGTCTACTCTAATCATAATAAGGTGAATAGCTATGAAGGTACGACATGACGGAATGGTAGCACGAGGGTGCGATTGGTTTAAGAATAAGCTGGGAAATGATTTAGTTAACACATCGTGGTTTATCAAATGAGAGGTATAGGCATATGGAGATCATTAGTAATAAAGAAAGGGTGCAAGAAACGTGACCAACCCAAGTAGAATCTCGAAGGCTCTCAAGATCAAGTATCTCGTTGATGTGATGGATAGTAGTTTTTGAATTAGTTAACCAACTACTCGGACGTTATCAGCAGATCATTATCATCAACCTAGAGAAGGAAGGAGGAACGTTGCAAAGGTCTCTGGAGGTAGAATCAAAAGTGCGAGGACCTCAACTTCAAACACCAGCAAAGAGGTGCCAATTGAAAGGGAATACCTCGAGGATTGTTGAAGGAGTAGAGAGAGTAGTACGAGGATTTTACTACTTGGAGATAAATGTAGGATCTAATAAGCTAAGACAAACAAAGGGGAGACATATGAATCTCCGAAGGAAGAGGTACCTCAAGAAGTCCCTCAACTAGTTTTAGTTGTCAACGCTATTACAACACAGTGACAAGGAGCAAAGGAAAGTTTAGACTTTAAAGAAATTCTATGGTAGTATAAAGGAAGCAAAGGAGGAAATAAGTCGGTTTTAGGGAGTATGAAAGTACATCAAGAAGTCAATAGGTCAAGGCGGAGAGGAGGCATGGTCATTACATATGACGATAAAGGAACCCTTATAGATAAACTACATCACTAGAGAAGAGGGTACATGACCCTAGGGAGTTAGGTCGATGTCAAGCATTTAGAGGAACAATGCAAGCAACGAGATAAAGGAGGTAGGGACAAGTTATGGTCTCAGTACGACCACCATTAGACGAGACAAGGAGGAAATTGCCACCGAACCCTAAAGCATGCCTGATAGAAGACAGTGGTGAGCCAATGCGTAAGAAAAGACATGGAATGTGAAAAGGAATAACAGTTAGCTAGTAAATGGCAGTACGAATAGAGAACCATTTCTCAGCAATGCGGGAGTTGAATACCAAGATAACCTTCATCTCAAAAGCGGATATTAAAGACCCTATAAACTACCCAGGTCACAAATGGTCAAGAGGTCGTTGGGACCATTGATAGGGGAATGCAAGAGTTTGTGATGATCTTTTATGAGATTGTCCTATCCTAAATGCAGGGAGCACCTAGCCACCTAGGGTTTGTGAGGGGTGACAGAAGGAGGAACCTCCATAGAAAGTTGGAAATAGAGGGCTAAGAGCTGAAGTCTCAAAACTAGATATAGGAGTAAGTCATTAAGCCAACCGAGTATAGAAAAGTAAGTGGAACGTTCAATAAATGTTCTAGTGAATGACAGAGAATTCGAGGAAGCACACGAAAGTTCCGATGAAGGATTGGGAATATGTGTAGGTGACTCGGGTTCAAGAAAATGCATAGTGGAGTACGACGAGGAAAGACATTACCAAAAAGGAAGAAATCATTAAGTTACCATACCCAAGGTGCCCCACTCTGAGTGGGAGCGACATAGTAGGATGTCATCCAGAGGAAGTGGCTAGTTAAGGATAAGTAAGACACGTTCAGTTAAGCCACTAAGAAACCAGACTATGAGATTAAGGCCATATGCAGGCATCAATCTAGACAAATGACGTGAATGAGGTATGTTAAAGC